CTCTCTCAAACCTAAGGACCCGGGGTAATAAAGAGTTTTTTGGCGGTTGAGAGAGGATAGTTTTGATGCCATTAGCGTACTTGCCCCGTTTGGGCTTACTATGTATGGCAGTGTTCGAAACAGGCACTCCGTGAGCTGCCATAGATTTGAAACCCCAAAAAAATTCGAGTCACAGGTCCATATGGGAACAGCAGCCCCGTTTGGGCTTACTATGTATGACAGTGTTCGAAACAGGCACTCCGTGAGCTTCCACAGATTTGAAACCCCAAAAACATTCGAGTCACAGGTCCATATGGGAACAGCTAAGTAACTGAACTCAAGATCAATATAGCAGCATCTTTAAGCATCCATAAATCAAATCCATTTTAACTACAAGGCCAGTTTTTGTTCATTTGGGTATGCATAATACTGGGCACTTGGGCACTTTTGTCACTGTCTTAGGTGTATCCAAGCTGACTTTACGAGAAAATCAAGGTAAGAGTTAAGCTCAATTTGAATGACTGCCAAAATGTCGTGCACTTGTTGCTAATGAACCAAACATTTCAGGACTTACAATTCCATTGGCCAGATGCCAAAACCTTAAGCAAGCAACTAATCCTTCATGGCCCGTGTGGGCCATAGCGTAGGGGCCCTAATCTCCCATGTGAGGGGCACACACCAACTGAGGACTTTGTCACCTTCAATACTAAGAATACAAATCATGCTTCCCCGCATACATTCATGTATTTTGAAGCGACAACTCTCAACTACCGCACGTCTGATCCGAACACACTTGTAACATGCTACTAACTAGGGCTAAAACCTACGCACTTTAAACTCTTTCAATTTATCACGAACGAATTGCATTCATACAATCATTTATTCTGCTACCAAGAATAAAGGTTTCAAACTCCTTGAGCAAAGGATCTAGTACACTGTATGATCCATTCAACAGTGCTCGGATGAATTTGGTCGACCGACGTAAAATTTACAATCTCACCATTTCCTTGTCGCTAAACCGTGTAACTTGTTTGTCTGTAGTGCTCACATATCTATGCCGCTTTCAAAGTGATGCTTCCTGCTCTGGTTAGACGATGCAGTCTCAATTTTGATACGCACACGCCTTGTTCAAATATAAGATTCACGGCCTAGGTACTTGACTAAATCGATCGGCTTCAGACACAATGTCACGTGGGTATGTAAAATGGGTAATGCACGCGTAGTATACAGGATGGTAGTGAATAAGTTGCTGTAGTTCAGTCCAGCCAGGTTTTCATTTGGCACGCTTTGTTGAACATGCCCGCATTCACAAAGGCTGCGCTTAGGAGTTGGCCAGAAACAAAAATTGAGTGAACAAATTCGCTTTTTCAACAAAACGGCAACAGTTAGATTAAGCTTAATTTTTTAGCAAAGGATTCTGCTAACTAAAGGTATTGCGATCAATACGATCATTCTGATTGTGATCATTTGACAGATGCCGGGGTAAAGCTGTCCATTGTCTGATTAGTGTGAACTTTTCTGCCTGATACCAGTCCAAATCACCAATCTTCTGGCCGCGTTTGATATTAAAAAAAACGTGTGAAGATGGGCGAAATATGACTATTTTAAAACCTTGATTTATTTTCGAACTTTGTTGGTCTAGAGAAAATGAGAAATATTAATCTGGATATGAAAATACAGACCATATCAGTGTCCACAAAAGCAGTAAGACGTGTTTTTGGTCCACTTGGATAACTGCGGCAAAAAGTGAGCTCGGTCAACTGCAGATTACGTAGAAATGAATGCGGGTTTTTCTTTAGACCTTAGAGTTCATCATCATTTGTTCCATCAGCACTATCTTTCCCATCATCGTTCTGAACTTCGATATCACAATTTTATCAACAACAGTCAACAGTATCCTAAACACCATCATTACCGCAATCAGGGACACCATCGGTACTGTGGCCACCATTGTACGCACCATGATCGTCCTCGTCGTCGCCATCACGGTCTCAACCATAGACATCACTGCCGTCATCGTCATTATCATCACAAACAAAGGCATCCGTCGGAAAAATTCTAGCAGTGCTTTGCCAATTTCCAGTAGAAGGCATCAGCATGCATACTAAAAGCTTGGATCCCGTATGACGGGTCCTGCTGAAGAACGTAAACCCCAATTTGTTCTTTATTNAAACCCCAATTGGTCTTTATTGGCCCACTTTTCCATTAATCGTGCACCGTAGGAGTGAGGTTTTTTCATGAAAGCGACCGTTCGACTTTACATGTATTTTCGGTCTTCTTATAGGAAAATTATAAAGGACTGTGAAATATGCTGAGATCACACTGTTAGTTTCGCATTCTGAATGTCATCAGTTGATTCCAGTTTCGACTTATCGTGCCGTATAACGGCTTACATATGATACAGGGAATAAATAATTTGGCTATAGAGTCGAAGTCATCGTAATCTCTGATATGTAGTGTCCTTGAGTGTTTGCTTTGTGGCCTCCGAACCCGGCAAAATCTTAGAGTTCTGTCGGGGAGTTTCGCGCACTATTGCTGTAGGGAATTCTGATGAGTGGAAGATCCGTCTGAACCTAGGAAACCATTATTCACTGCCTGGTTGAGTTGAGAAAACCGTGCGCAGTAGAGTCCCGTAAACCTGATTTATAGCTCTTTAGCAGCAGTTTTACAACTTGTGAACGAGTTATTTATTCGGAATGTCCCGATTTTCTTTGTGGGCGCTCGTGAGTAGAAGTCAATCCATAGTTTAAAGTACACACTTGTGTGCGCTATCAGAACCATGATCCTAATCCTCTTCGCAATACTCAGTCTTTCCTCCAATTAATAGCAGCGCGCGCTGATGTTGATACGTTGCTCTCTGGTAGACAGAACATGCACATGGTGAAGTTAGAAAAGCTAGGTGGTCGTGTGGTGTCTGCTGCGAACCCTGAAACCCAATGACTGAGCCGTTTACATCTTTTTCGACTTTCCCCGGTTAATTGTTCTGCACGTCCTTTCCGAAACTCGTTCCAATTAATGAGCCTAATTACGAACCGTGGGACGCCTAGATGAGTAACCACTCGGACTGCTAGGGCACTGATAACGTTCAGTATGGCATTCGTGAAAGCATCTTCAACTTGATAACCACAAGGCACGTGCACGCAGTGTGTGATTAACAATTGGAAGTTGCTCTGTGTAATCTGTGCGAATGTTCAGTGGAAAATCGAATTTCAACCATAATGGCATTCTTAGGTAGCAATGGGAGTGAATAAGAATGTCGCCATTAGACACCTGCTGTGATTCACCTGCATGTTGTATCGTGCGGTGGCCGAGCTATTGGGTTACGCCTGCACTGAGCCTGCCAGACTACGCGATAGGGAGAAGACAGAGAACTGGGGACACGGCTGTATTGCCAGGACAAAACATACAGAATGTCTGCGTAAATATATGGGATGACTAATTGGCCAAATATGCTCGTTCACTTGTTCGCTCCGTACAGCCAATGGTGGTGTTCCGGTCGTGAACATTCTCAGACCCACTACGCTGGTCGTCTGCTGCTAAGCCGTCTTAGGTGGGAGCCGTGTGTCGTGGGGGCCACCAGCTCACCTACTTTCCGGACGTGTCATACTGATGGTGACCTTGGGGATGCGTTACTCTCTGCACATGTACTTTTTATTCTGTCTGGGCGCGCCCTGACACTGCAGCGGTTCTATTTACTAAATGGCAGGTTTGAGACGGTGGTCTCTAGGTTGTGGCCACAAACACTGATGAACCAGACTCAGAGACGATGTACAGCTACATCGTTCCCACCGCCGTAGCTAACCTATTCTTCGCGTTGGGACTGCAACATCTGTACTATATACGGTCAACAAAATTACGTAGTTGCAATAGCTTCGAATAAAACTCATGAAATATCCTCGAACCGGCAACGCATGATTGATAGCACCACACTCGATCTGAGGAAGTACTCGGTGGAAATGACCTCATGGCTCAACTAGACCGCTAGATTTACTTCCACCTCAAGTGAACCGAAATTCGACAGGTTAAAAATGAAGCAACGTAGGTCAGGCCCTGTTACGGCGGAGTCAAACTTTTGTAGCCTTTGTGTCAGCTATAATTGCATTTAATTGGCTACTCGAAGGGCTCGCTAGAAGTGGATAACTACATACTCTGAAAACTGTCTGGTACTCTGCGGGTCAAAAATTACTGTAATCCAGCTCTTTATATGTGATGCTCCTCTGTAACTTCATAGTAAGTTATATCGAACTCGACCATGAGATTTAGGTTTTGACTTAATCGGGGTATGCGTCTTTCATTGTATAAACACCCTGTAAGTTTTAGATAGTAGGCGTTCAACCATCGTAAATCCGTCAAGCAGTTTGTTAGGCATGCAAGTTAGCGCAGGACTCAGGCTGTGAGGATGTATTAGTTAGATTTATCATTTCGGTAACTTTAGAAGCTGGTAAGAGTTGCTATCCGATTTTCCCAAGGGGAGATTTCTTTTTTGGGAAGGCAGTTTGGCTCGTGGTTCTAGCGGTCAGAGAGCACACAGGAATTTAATCATGAAAAGAACAAACGGAAGGAGATGTAAGCACATTCTAGCCAGAAGTATCCCGAAATCCATGAATCACTAAATATGTTCGTCTACTGATGTCGCGGGTCGTTTTGAGTGTGATTTCGTATGACCAAATTTACTCTTAGAATTGTATAAGTTTTCCGAAGCAAGTAGAATTCCGGTCCAAATATGATGTCATCTCATTCCGGGAGCTTGGTCAGTGACCTAAGCATTGACCCTTGAACACCTCACAGATTTAGGCTTTGAGGCTATCCCGAATGGGGGGTTTCTAAGCGAACGTTTGCAGGCTGTTTCAAATGCTCAGCGAAGACGTGCAGACCCAGCCGGTGCAGCTTAGTTGTCTATATTATTCATAATAATTATCTCATTTCCTAATAAACCCAGAGGGCACTGCACCCTTGCAATGCAGACTTTACTAACTGAATTTACTTGGCCACTTTAGAATGTTCAACTTTATTCTTTCCAGAACGGAATCCCTGATACTCAGCGTATCCAAAGGCTGGACGATGGTACGATAGAAGTTACGGACACCCTTTCGAAACAGGATTACTACCGTAGTCTTCGACGTCCACTCGAAGGTCTGCCGGATGGTCCAAATACTTTGGGCCTCGCGAGTCAACTCAGTCTTGACATTGGTCAACCTGGAACCTTAAAGCCTTTCAAGAAGAGTGAGGCAACTTTGGAATACAAAACTTCTGGTCGGGAAGAAACGTGCCATGTGTTAATGCTGGAGGGTGTGGAACGAATATTTACAATAGATGTACGTATCCCTGAATTTGTGTGCTGTACTATACTGATGTCAGTTGTCTCTCTCCTCCCGTATAAACGTGTATGGTAGTTAGTAATGATGGACAGTCATATTGATATAAATATCCTTCATCAAATTAATGGTAACGGTATTTAGGATACTACCAATCCAATCGTGACTGGTGCACGTTGAGGTGACTTTACTTCTGCTGCATCTTGTCATACGTACACAGTTCTAATCTATGCTGAAAACCTTCCACAAATTAAGATTTGCTTGACACGGGTGACATTGATATGCACACAGTAGAATAAGTGTATATCGAATTTTTACACTGATGTATGAAGCTGTGATTGGCCACTGCTCAGCCTAAGCGGTTCAGGTCTACACAGGTAAACACGCACATACCTCGATCGTTAGGACATGTGTTACAACACGACTGTTTTGCTTCTATTACATTAAGCACGATAGAATCCGCGTTTCTGTTATGGGTTCTCACTTTTGGGTGCATTGTTGTCGAAAGAACATATGTATGATTTCACCTGGTATCTCATTCAACCTATACAGTAGGCTACATGCCCACAGTGTAGCTGTAGCGAAGCTGAGCATCCATTACTTCAGGCACATTTCTTCTGGGCGAAATCGTGTCTCAGCAGTTCAGCTACACTAGGCTGTTCATCAGTGGTATGTAAATGATGACAGAACGAATATTCTGACGGGGATTTCAACAGAGATCTGGTCGATAAACTGGATTCACCATCTCACTGGTGACCTTTCACAGTTATTGTTCCAGACGGCTAATGCCTTCACATACATAAGGGCTCATGGTGTAGCGCAGCGTGTTCAGCATATGCTTTGGTCAACCGCTCCAACCCAGGTCACCATGCATGTCGCATCACAACGCCTAGTTGAACTTTTCTACTGTGTGTATTGACGGAGCAAGACACCTTATAAATGCTATATTAAGCAGATGTATTCATCTATGTCACCGTGTGAGAGAGTCATATTCATTTGTCCCCCAGCAATGGTACAAGCTGAGCTGGGACTTCTAGATACCCTGAATCGATGGCTCTTAAATATCCTGAAGTGATATCCATCACCTTGAGTTTTTTTTTAATTCATGCGTTGTCAGTTGTTTCTCTTGAGCATCCGTCGACTTACAGTCTATGACAGATTTAAGGTTGATACACTCGAATGTGACACTCATTTAAAAGGTACTTCGAAGGCTTGAAGACAACATGGATTAAGGCAGTTTTCGTTCTTGCTGGAGCATATGACTGAGTTTTGTTCTAAAGCACACCTTTTTTGTAGGCAGCTGCGACATGACCCTAAATAGTAAAGTACATTTAGATGGCACTACGAGAAATCGCGCAGTAACCTGGGTCAGAAAGGTCGACTGTAGTGCACTTTGAATGCATTGTGGAATGTTCCAAGACCCATAATTAAAACATGTGAGCTCCGTCGCGACAGTTTCAGACGACCTTCAGTGAACCAGTCCAAGGCGAACGTGGAAGCGTGCAGTTCACTTTTATATGTATTCAACCGGTCAAGGTTTTAAGTGTATTTTGCTGGCGAACGGTGTCCATGTGTGACCATGAGCGTAAATCATCAATAGCATTAAACGCATGAACCCATTCGGATAGACCAAGCGACGTATATCAATTACCCGGGACTGCGAAAAATAAACTATAGGCAGCGCTGGAGAGTCCCCTGATCAGATTATTAAAACTTCATTAGGAGATCCTTGATGCAGCTAAATTTCATCAAGTAAGCCCCTCAAGTTTTTCCTCATCACCAAATGTGTGGAATCTCTTTGACATTGTCAGTCACTTATGTGTACAAATATTTTAGCTGGTCAGCTTACCTTGGACACAACAACATGTGTTTTCAACCACTATACACGAATTTCTGAGAAATGTATTTCCTATTCACCTACGAAAGTGCACTCCTCAGTGTGATGGAAGAACCTGACACATCATATTATACTAACTCAAGCCCAGATCAGATAGATGTGATGCTCCACCCAGAACTGTCCATATGGATGAAAAAACGTCAGACAAGGAAATGTCTATCGTGACCATAGTATATAATATTCCAAGGGGTGATAGCAAAACGCGCCAGTCCCTACTAAAGCCAACTCGAATGTTGGTAAAGAGATTTTATCCCATCTGATTCACCATCCTCCCATGCCACTTCGGTTCCTACTACAGCTACCAACCAATCAATAAAATTGTTCATCTTTACTGGCAATCAGGTTTTTATAATTAAGTTCTAGCCAATCCAGTGGGAAATTTTTTTCTTTCGCGGTTGACGCTGTTGACGATGCGAAGTGGCTGACTTGACGAATCTCTGTGTGGATCACACATCCGAAGCAGACAAGATAGCCAATTCATGGATTCACTTTCTACAACTATCGAACACATTGTGGTGTGCAAACAGGGACATCCATTTACTCTACACATAAGTCGGCTTAGTCTGTTGTGTCCGCCTACTCGACATCCGATAACGGATAATGGAACGACATCATTGGTGCATTGTCACACCCAAACTCAAATGTGTACTCTCCTACGTGCTGAACAACCGTGGATGCCTGAGCAGACGATGTACCCTCTACATCGGTGTGTGTATACAGCCGAAATTACATGGAATCAATAAGCTCCTGGTCTACCTATACACATATACCACTATACATAGATGGTGCTAGACATCCGAGAAAAACAGACAGCAAAGTCCATGCCGTGAGATTTTCACATCATACATCATGTGGCCGGTAATTTCGAGTGGCTTTGATCAAGTTATCAGCGTCTGCGGAGCATCCAGTTTTTGACCGATTAACGGCTCATTTTCTCCTTTCGCTTGCAGGTTTGAGAGTTTCCTTGATCAGCTAATCTACACAGTTCATTAGAACAACACATGTCTACTACCAGGATAGGGTTGAAAAAAGCAAGGTCGACTGATTATAGAGGAGGTAGCAGGTACGAGGAGGGAATTCCAGACCGGATATTGTTGTCACACTGGGAATGCGAATTTCAGACAGGTTTGGATAGAATACCACTATCCACGACGTGGTCTAATCGCGCGGATACTTACACCTTGAGCACCATAACCACCTCAGTGGTGACACTAAATGTAGACAGTCATCCAGGCCCAGGGCCTACGAAGCGACCGAAGAGCTACTCAAACAAGAATTTCATTTAAGTCTGTCGTTACCAGTAATGCAATTAGCCGATGACCATAACCAATTACGCTCAATTTGGTGTTCAATTGTAATATGTGGTTGATAGGGACTGTGCCCACTTGATGAGGTCGAGGAGGGAAGTCAGCAAAGGGCCTTCGAAGATTTTTCAGTAGTCTGTCAGGAAAAAACCCAACGTTAGTTAACAAAGTGGGCAAAAAATAGAACTGGCTTTTTTGGTTGGGGCTGTAGCATTGTGTTATAACGACCATGATATCACGAACTCGCAGTCCACCCTGGTTAAAAGCCTTCTAGCCAATAACCGTCAGTTTCTGGTGGAGAAGAGTTACTTTGGCAGGTGGGCTGTTTGTGATGACCAATCACCTAGGATACGGTCATGGTGTATTTAAGAACAAAAACTGTGCCCGTGTATCGAACTAGACAATGTACACGTAGTGTACACACCTTGAACACTGACTTTTCCGGGCATAAATATTGGCCCAGATAGACGCGTATCTTTTGACAGAATAATTGCAGCTGGCCGTATCACTACTGTATTTTGTCCTGAGTTAGGGTTGAAAGTAATCCACGATAACGTCATAATACTACATCCGTTTGTAAGCACACTGTTTGTGATTACAATCCCGGAACACTGCAGACAACCGTATAAAAACATATATGCGTGCTAAATGTAGCTCCCGGAAAATTGCAGTAGGAGCATTATGCAGGAAAAACTGAAATATACCCACGATAATGCCATATAATGACGCAAGCTTTTTTCAAGCAACCGAAACGTCGAGTTACAACAACCTAGTCCTTATAGTACACCACATGGCGCTGAATATTCTTCAACTTTCTTTGAGCTGATTTCGGCCCGGAACTACTTTTTTAACACTCTTTTGGACTGTTCGTGAGTCGTTTTGACACACAATCAATAGAGGATAAACAGTCCAAATTCTTCTCGGGATTTGTACTTGTTATCAATACATAATACAAGCATATACTTATGTGTGTATACTTATATGTATATGCATATAAGTTTGTTGTAGATGGACCTCAGTATGGTCAGGAGAAGTTCAGCCGCTCAAACCAATGAGAGCCTAGTGTGGTGTGCCCGTGTATCGAACTAGACAATGTACACGTAGTGTACACACCTTGAACACTGACTTTTCCGGGCATAAATATTGGCCCAGATAGACGCGTATCTTTTGACAGAATAATTGATTGCAGCTGTATCACTACTGTATTTTGTCCTGAGTTAGGGTTGAAAGTAATCCACGATAACGTCGTAATACTACATCCGTTTGTAAGCACACTGTTTGTGATTACAATCCCGGAACACTGCAGACAACCGTATAAAAACATATATGCGTGCTAAATGTAGCTCCCGGAAAATTGCAGTAGGAGCATTATGCAGGAAAAACTGAAATATACCCACGATAATGCCATATAATGACGCAAGCTTTTTTCAAGCAACCGAAACGTCGAGTTACAACAACCTATTCCTTATCATACACCACATGGCGCTGAGTATTTTTCAACTTTCTTTGAGCTGATTTCGGCCCGGAACAACTTTTTTAACGCTCTTTTGGACTGTTCGTGAGTCGTTTCGACACACAATCAATAGAGGATAAACAGTCCAAATTCTTCTCGGGATTTGTACTTGTTATCAATACATAATACAAGCATATACTTATGTGTGTATACTTATATGTATATGCATATAAGTTTGTTGTAGATGGACCTCAGTATGGTCAGGAGAAGTTCAGCCGCTCAAACCAATGAGAGCCTAGTGTGGTTCTTTACTGCGAATTCCTGGTTTATGTTGTCGAATCGTTCCTTTGCTTTTCATCAGCTGCTGTATGTTTTATATTCATCGTCTGTTCGTCGGGTGTTATTGTTCTGAATTGTGGAATGTTGTGCAATGTCTTGTTTGATGAAAAAATTTTCAATTTGTTTTGTCCACAAACCGCCTTACTCTTGATATTCGGGTGCTTTAGGTGTACAATGGTGCAAGAAGTGATATTCTATGACCGCAGCTGTGCAGGCCGATTACTGGCTATCGTTTTCTGGCCACACCTGCGCCACACTCTAGTGAACTGCCTTTAGCTGTTTACTTGTTCACACAAGGCCTTATACTCAGTTGTTCTCAGCTGGTCATGCCGAATATTTTGAACCGCCTCCCCTTTTTCACTCACGGTTTTGTTCTCGTAGGTAAACCAGGGGATGTTCAGCACAAACTGCATTTGGTACTATATACTGTTCAGGGAATCCACTGGCGTAATTCAATGCAATAGGCAACCTCAGGGAAGCATGTCATCCCAACAATTGTACGTAGGTATCTAATTATATCAATGATATTCTTTCAAATGTGACACCCTTTTGGTGCCTAGCTACCATGTCAGCCGAACGAAGCTCGAGGCTAAGCTACTGCCAGGTTGCCCAAGCCTAGACACTAGTAGACGATGTGCAGAAGTTGATTTCGGACCACGAACATTTCGGTCAGTGAACTGGAACTTTTACCACTGAACCATACGTAGGTATAAACCTACAATTAAAGTTTAACTCCTTGGCAGTAACTTCCTACTAGAATTTCCAACGGGTTCTATGACAGCCTGAAATAGCACACAACTGACTACATTCATATTACTGGCGACGGACAGAATAAAGTGAAATCTACAAAGTTTAGATAGGAGTATTCCAAATTAATCCGAATTCGCTGCAAAATCTGGATAAGGTAAACCATTTCAACATACAAATTATCCAGATCCAACCTAAACCTTTAATCCTTTCTGGACCGTAGCAGACAATCAGAAGGTGAATCCCGGTGCTTTCCATGTGGAACTATCAGAGGAATGTGAAACTGGTTAGCTCTTTGTTATGTTACTTCAAACGGTTCTGGTCGCTAAGTCATTGGGGTAGACCCTGGGCAAGTTAGCCAGGTTTTCTTCGACCCAACGCCTCAAACATATATGGTTACGTGTGTCCTTTCAGATTTGAGAAGGAACTTTGGTTTCGTAGGGAATAACTTGTAGGTATTGGAAACCATAAATAGGGTTCCAAGTTCCAATCTGTTATGACAGTAGCGCAAAAAATCGTAGTAAAATATTCAGAAACTGTTCCATTCAGAACTGTGCAGTTATTATCCCTTATTTCCTCCCTGTCAGACAATGGGGGAGTTTTTTAGACTCATCGCCGTTTAAATTCACTGGCGTAGTTTGGTTTTTGCTTGGTATCTCGATGTATTTTTATCATTACCGGTGACAACCTTGATCCGCAAAGTACACGAAAATTGAACGATAGTCCGTTACGATTCCATACCTAGCTGAGGCATCTTTTGAAACCAATCAATTGTGTTTATTCTTGGAGAATTGTGGTCTCCATCCGCCGAAACAGATATCGATGACATGTCCAGAGCCAGTCTGAAGTCGAGATCATCTCATCCTGGTGCAGTTGGGAGCGGAATCATGGCGTGTGCTTCTATGTTTGCCGCAAAATTTCAATACACTAGGTTTCGACGTACAAACGTTTTACCTTAAAAGCAGTTTTATGTTTTAATCTTCTTTCAGTATATGTTACGAGTTGTCCGTCACTATATATTCTACTCAATTCTATCTATTCCGCCAAAAGTTTTTGAGCGAACAACTTGGATGGACGAAACTATCGGATAAGCGCCATTCAGTTTGTACTTATTTTCAGTTTAGCCTGTTACGTAGAAACTAAAAGAGATCAAAAAGGACACCGAAAATCTTAAACCTCTCTCAATAAAACGTCATTTTGATTGCGATACGAGATAAGCAGTATCAAGTTTTGAGAGCAGGTTATCGCGATTTCTTTATGCTAAGTAGTCAGGTAAATGGCCACCCACTGACGGACGTCGTTGTCATTCGTTCGCTCGTTCATGTCTGTTATATAAGCATTCTAATTACACGCATGCGTCATTCGCTGAGACCACTGGCTTCACATTGCTGTCAAAATCTACCCAAACGTAATTCAACTAACCAGGCCAGGTATATGAATAAGCTCACCTTTTTTGTTTACGGCCGGTAATTGCGAACGTGCCGGTCTCTCTATGCACTTTTCTTGTAGTTGGCTTTTCGGTAGACCACCCAGTTATTGGCGAACTCTTCCGATGAAAGCACATTTCACTGTGACAAGACTGAACTGACATTGAGTAGGTAGATTATAAGGATCGAAAACGCCCTGCAAATGCTCCGAGGTGACAATTGTTCACATTTTTTTATGTTCGCAATCGGTTTAGAATCAAAGGATTTGGTTGTGTGAGATTCACTGGTGCGTGCCATTTGAGAGTGAGAGTAAGAATGGAATGGACAGTCTTAAGCACTAGCTATCTGGTAGTAAATAACCGAAGATACTGGTACTGAAGTACCTGACAGGGCACATGACGCTTACAGTAGTGAACCCTCGGCTGTGTACCAGTTGGATTTAACTCGATAAAATTTATGAGCGGCAGGAAAGTAGGGAACTAGTGGGATCTACACTTATGCAGATCTGTACATACGCACAATCTTGCTTTGTAGAATGTCGTCTGTATGAATTTTCCTCTGGCAGTGCCCACCCATTACCCTATTCTGCTCTTGCTGCATATTTTTAATACTATTCATCTCCCTAATTGCCTCAAAAGCAGACTATAGCCACGGGTTGAGTGTCAAAGAATGACAAATTTTTGGATAATTACAACAACAAAGATTGATATTTGTGGGTTACCTCTGGTAAGAATGTACTCTGAGAATTTAGGTCTTTTTTCGATTACGGCGATTTACAGAATCTCCTTATTGGTGTTTCTCATCATATCATAAAATAGACGCAAACCGTATTATTCACACCCAACGGCACTGTTTTCATATACTTGAAAAACCGCGACGTCATTGTTGCATTTTATTTCATCTGCTTTGCGATTGGTTGGATTAAGGACGTATCCACTTGGGCACCATTCCATCCATGGAACTGATACAGTCATCACTTCCTCGGTTTTCACTTCTATTTTGACCTCAGTTAGATATTGCTTTCTCGCTCGGTTTTAAACACTGTAGAGAAACAAAGAAAGTTTATTTATGTCATTTGCGTTAGCATGACAAGTATCCGTGATCGCTTGAAGCAGCTCAAGTGCATGCATTTGATTATAATAATTGGATTTATATCATCCCAGACAACTTTTCCCGTTTACAAAACACCACATAGACTTTTTGCAATGGGTTCACAGGGGTGCTCCAAGCCCATCGTTTTCCGCAGAGCATCCGTTTGCTGATCGTGCTATTATCGAGCAATTGGATCAAGTAGTCATGTTTTTTAGGTGAACGTCCGGCTGTCCTCTTTCCCGACTTTAGTTTGTATTATTAGGTTAGTCAGAGTCAAGGCACATAATTCAGCAAGCAGGGTCAGACCTTTGAGCTTGTGTCATCCGGTTTATCACAAATGATTCTGCCGGCTAGATCAATCACGGGAAGTAGAAGATAGAGGTTTAGCAGAAAACCAGCCAGTAGTGCACAATGTTTGCAGCTTATGTGTGTTCATATAATCCACTGACGCGGATGATCATACGGACCAGCGCTACGTTCATGCGCGTCACCTACACGCAGTCACCTCAGCCAGGAGCAAAAGTAGTGCTCCCCAGGCATAGTTGACTTGGATCGGCTTGTGGGTCCTCCTCTCACACCAGACTACTCCAGTCGGCTTCCTTGTGAAGTGAAAATTGTCCCAATATGTTTGCTTCGAGCCTCGTTTGCAACCACCAACATATTTCACCGGGTGTGAACCCGAAAGCGTAACATTTAAGTTAGGCAAAAAGGAGCAGGCCCAAATCAGTGGGCACGCCCAATTGATAATGCATTTTCGTTAGACCACGTGGCGACAACGAAACGGATGCACGCACACGTGTCTCCCGGTAACCAGCTTTGTCCGCGTAAACGTGGTCACAGTAATTCACTTCTACAGTCTTTGTGGGCTTAGTATTCCGCCATGACACAGCTGAAATACAGTAGAAGAATGTAATGTCAGTACGCTTATTACAACACGGTTGTAATCCGACTAGGGTTTGCCGGTCAACTGTGATTAGACCATTCGACACCTGCGCACAGTCAGAAGCCGTAGGTGATTTGAGCAGAACGGATTCTGGTGCTGTGCTCACGACCTTGGTAACGATGCAAGCCCCGGTGAACGTGGAGATGCCTGTCGCAAGCCATCAACTAGCTCAGACATGGCATAACTCTGGACACATGCACCAGTTACGTGTATGCCATCGAGGTACCTGCGTTACCCCTTAATTCTTCTGGTTTTCAACGTAACATCGCAAAACTACACTACAAGACCGTGTAGGTGAGTGATATCAAGAACACACCATCAAGTTGACAATGGCGGTATTTCATTAATCACAGCCAATAAATTTGTCACCTCCAAAATGACAATATCAGGCGGGTAACCACTAGAAAATGGAGCTGATTTACCCGGTTGCACTCATCGGGTGGACCGGTGAATAAGCTGGTGACCAACAGGGCTGATCCTATTAAGTCACATGCGTCCGCATGTTACACGGATATATAAAGACTAAACTGTATTAAGAGATTCAGCCTCTTCCAAACGGCTCGCTAGTTCTCAGCGTTACAAGTCATCGTATCTCAAAGTCCCTCACACCTGCTTGAAAAGCCGTTCTTCTTCTTTGATCGAGTCATCTGAAATTGGATTTGCCGTCTTTTAAACTCACCTGAAGACTCTAATTAGCGGAATTTACGGTGCTCCCGATTTCGAACCCCGTTATTTAGCTACGACGCAATATAACTATAAGTAGAATTTGGATGAAGAATAAGTGCTTACAGTTACAACCGACATAAAGTTGTTATGGGTTAGGGTGGGGACAGCAGTAGTTGTCTAGCGCCGACTTCAACAAACACGGCCAAACGTGCGAGTGCACTGGGCCGGTCCAACTGTGACTGACTAACCGATGCATCGCCATGTATTTTGTAGGTCGAGACAGGGTTGGTGTATTGGTAGCAGATGAAATATAACAACGCGATTAACGATGACACGGAATGTTGCACAAATGTACTCTGAACCGTGCAGTTTTTTAGGGAGTGGACTCCATCCGAGTACTGGACATCGGATACCGAGGAGATAACGGTGTGGACAGGGAATGGATGCAAGGACAGTTCATTTAAGCTTATGAGCGAGGGAAGTCGACATCATGAGAACTGACGGTGGTGTGTTGTTAGATCGGAAACTGATAGTTTGTTCTGGCTCAGTAACTTTGGTGAGCAATATGTTGTTTGGTAGTTTCCCTATTTGTTCTATTTCCAAGCGATCGGAAATACTCATGAAAACCGTACGACGAACAAGATAGCAAACCATTCTTGCTGTGTATGATTGTCCTCTTGGTCAATACATCCCCATTTCAGCACGCAATCCATCCAAACGATTCTTCATGAACTCGACCTGGAATCAGGAAGTCCCAAAAATTGTGATATGTTCAGTTCATTGCAGCCACAGGAAGGCGTACATTTAACAAAATCGCACTGCCCATTTTCGCATTTTCGTTCTTTCATCACAGCAGAATTCAGATTACCTGGGTGTCATTTGGTCTGCAAGTGTAGAATAAGGTCACCACACATGGCCTGTTGCGATTGACTGCTTATTGTCATGGAACTGAACTAACTTCCTTTTTCACAAAGAAACATGCGGGCATCATGGTTATGACTGATACCCTGAGGTTTAGATCCGCATTTTCGTGTCGATAAAGGACCAGCATTCTTCATCACACTGTGCACGGTGTGGCAGTTCAGGTTTTGAAAAAAAACTCACTCAACTGCAACCGAGCTGATTTCTTAAACACGTCCATACCACAAACTGCGCTTCACTTTAAGCGATGGTTCTATGCCGAAAATCAATTACTTGCCCCCCCCCCCTGTGTTATCTGCTTGCTAGCTAACCATGTAGCAAGCTGATGGTTCCAAAACTTCATCATATTGAGAACCATAACACTCCAAGTGATGTAGTCCGGCTAAGCGCAGCTACCCGGACATGCCGCATGTGCCCAGTTAAACTTCCTATAGCATTTGAACTGGTGTTTTCGGGTAGTGCAGTGATGGAAAATGTCAACCGATGCGAGTGACTCAAACCCAATCCACGCAGCTCGTGAACTCTAATTAAGTGAACATTCTTTGCTGGTTGGCGTTTAGAAGACTGAACATTTAAGGTTGTTGAGGGCTCTGTTGACGACCACTGGGTTTTTGTGATGTTTAGATAGACGAGGTTGATGCGCTTCTGCCTAAAAAGTGGGGTGAAGATATCCTGGAAAGACCAGTTGTACGAGTCTTGCCAACCCCGTTGGGACTCCCAGGTTGGTATACAGGGATCGGATGCGTAAAGTTTCGGTCGGAGGGATCAATGACTCCCAGAGCCAAAAAAATGAAAATGTACATAGTCCTGCAGTCAGTCAGAACGGAATTTACCCTCAATGCATTCCTAGTCTGTCCTTGATCAAGGTTGAATAACAGCCTGACGGAATATATATCGGGATCGATATAGGAGAACAGACTTGTCAGTCATTAAATTTATAAGTTGTCCTCAGTAAATAGGTCTGTAAATTTGTTCGAATTAAGGTAGATGTCTTTGGCCCTTCTTGCTTCATCAACCACTTTCCTCATTTTCATTTGCTCGAGTTGCGTGTCGGAAAATTACAATTCTGTGGCTAGCAAACCTACAATGCAATGGTGTGAAATCAATGACGATAAAGGAATGGTAATAAAATATTGAGGCGGTAATGTCACCATCAGCGACGATTAGGTAAAGGTATTAAATTCGTGGTGTATAGTTTGCTTATCGGGCGCCAGAACGAGCGCGTCTGGTTCTTACCACACACACGTGTGCGTCATCACCAATTGAGGTTCACTGCTCCCCTGAGGACGTTTGAATCCGCACTGAAGGCCAGCGGTTCACTTGATTGTGATCCTTACAGTGTGAAGCGGTTACGTCGATCAACGTGGGTAAGATATGTTTCCGGTCATGTGCGAGGGCGCTGGAACTTCTCAGAAATTATTTTGAAATCCCACCGACTTTGCGAGTATAATTTAACCCTACCTATTCAGAACCGGGCTCAGTGGTCAGACGTATTCTTGAAACAAGTCCAATTGTGGTGGTTCCAGGAGAGCGGCATCTGAAGAAATAAGCATTCGCTCACTTTGAGAAGGAATCACTCGTGAAAACTCATCACCTATTACTGTTTTACCAAAAGTCACTTGCTAGGTACAATTGATCCACTCACCCAAACAAAAAATCTTTCGCTTAGATTATCCCGTACTCTGGAAGGTCACCTGACAAATGTTCAGCAACCCAGCTTTTCATCCAGAAGTTGTTAGGCGGTGCTTCCCATGGTAGTGTTCGATTACTCTCACATTTTCGGATAGCAGCTGCTACAAGATCATCGGTATCAACTTAGTGACCGTGCAGCAAACTTAAATTTACCAGAATGAGTTATGTCATTGTCAAACCTGTTTCACCCACTATTTGACCTGATTATTATTCACTGTTTTTTTATGTCAGCTTACAAAGCGCCTAGTTGATTCTGCACAGTCTTAATCGGTGATAAGAGATAATACCATAGTCGTTTATTCGATCCTGACAACGAAACGCAAGCGAAACTTGTTAGCGGTGTCGAAAACAATACCTTGATAGTCCACATCTGTTGACCCACTATCGGAGTTACTGCACAATATGCCATACATGGATATTCTTGCATTTTGGTGTGCATTTCCTACCTGGATTTCTATTGCTAGTTAGTTCATTAAGGTTCCAAAAGCCTGTATCAAGCAGGCAAGTAGTTGTTTGGGGACTGTTCTTCACCCTTTCTGTTCCGGAAATGGCTTAATTCTTTTGTGTGCATCTCAGTGACTCCTACTTGACTGATGTTTGTGCTGCGTGCGAGTAAACTGTGGTCGACATTTTCCAGTATCAATCTCCACAAAGTTTGAGTTGCGTTCTTCAGATCGGAACCTATTCTTGATCGATTTGTTGACCGGATTCTCATTGTGCCACAAAGTGTAGGCTTATGCATCCGTAACAAAGTCATCTGCATAATTCCACTGCTGGTCGATACGGGTTGGCATGCCTGTGCTGTTTGTGAATTATTCTCTCAGTGAATCACGATGTGATACTGACCTGGCGATCAAAAGTGTGACGTCGCAAATGAGCAACACTTCCAAGCTACACCATGCTAGCTTTCGAACATTCTTCCAATCTAATGACGAATGCAACTGAAGAAGCAATGTGAAATTGTTCACAGCTTCTTGTTGTTTTGGCACACGATGAATGTTTTGACTGCATGAACCAAGTAGTGAAGTACCTGCTGTGTTCGGCTTGCTATGTCGGTCTCATATGAAGACCGGAAGATATGGCGCCTACATGAGAGAATTTAGTTCGGCTTATCATAGGAGAGATACGAGGGAGGTTATAGATTTTGCTGCCAACAAGCACACGCAACTAGTGGAGAAGTTTCATTATCCTGTGCAAATCATTCTCACACAGGATTACCTTTATTGTTAGGTCAGCCCTGGCTATTGTATTAGTCAGGTCTCATCAGAGAGCAGGTGAATTAGAACGACGCTTGATATGTGACGTTATGTCCTCGTTCAGTGGCATCACAATAAATAAGCATTTGCTATTTGCTGTTCGTACCAAAGTAATTATTTCCTTGTTTTAACCTTGCCAGCCTTTGACAGGATATACCCCAGTCTTGCTTTCAGTTGTTAAATTACCATTGTACGTGTCCTACTGGTGGTATTATAAAATAGGTTTTTGTTTCTTTCCCTACACCAGCATAACGCTTACGGACAGCATTTGTTTGACATGGTCTGCAATGCCTTGGACTTACGAGAGCGACATTACTTTGGAATGACTTATAGAGGAACTCCACGAACAGACGTAAGTTTTCTGCCCATTTAGGTATAATTATGAACATGTTCGAAGATGGTGTTTCTCCTCAATTATTTGAGACAGACCAACAAAATGAGTCCAGTTTGTGGAGGTGGATTGCAGATGTGTCTTCATTATCACTTCATGCGACATTCCCGTTTCTCCAGCCAATATGTAGGCTGTAAGAAGAGTGGAAGGAGGAGAGGAGGGCAAAACTGCTGAAATTTATTCCTGTTGGAACAGTTCTCCGTCTCTTAATGGGTAGCCATATGACCACAGTCATCCCGTCCTTTGGTATGCACTTTGCACCCACAAAGTGTAAGGTCATGCTTGTGGATGTGCAGTCACTGAACACGCCACTCACGATCCAGGGAGAGGCACTGGAAGTTGTGGAGCGTTTTACGTA